CCAAAATATCATCAAGTTGTTCTTTGTTCCCACCCAATAGCAGCCCTCAAATAAATAAATTTTAAATTATATTTCATTAATTATTTATAATTTAGAAAAATACATAATTTTTTTTTTCTTTTCCCCAATAATTAAATTTTGTATCCTTACCAAATCCCATTAGGGTTGTCACTTTCATGCATGCATATGCCCTTTTTTATTTATTATTTTTTTTTAACCTTTGATGGTTATTGAATGTGAATTTTTTTAATTTTCAATAATTCTTTGCATGGTGATCGATAACGACGCTTGAACTATACATATAATTTGGATATGGTTGATCCGTGATGACTCATCCGCTAAAGTTTCTGTCTGTGCTAAGTATCATATCTCTGAAGTATAATGATTAATCTGAACAAAACAGATCATTAAGAAATTAATTACCATTTTAAATATGAATGGTTTGTTGTATTAATTTGACTTTTGGATGATTTTTTTTTTTTATATAATATCAACTAGATTTTTTTAAATATATATTTTAATTTACTATAATATTGTATTTAATTAGATGTATTTTTCATTTGACTTAATTGTGTTTTTTTAGTTATTTCAAGACTTTTAAATGCATTATTATTTAAGCCAAAAAAAAATGAAAAGAAAATGCCAAATTGAATAAAATTTAATTTATTGCCCTTTCATAAATCTATTTATTAAATTGTAAAATTTGAATTAAATAATTTGAATGATTTTCAATTATTTTTAAATAATTTAAAATTTTCCTATCAATTCACTATAATTTTCAAAATATTTTCTCATAAAAATACAAAAATACAATAATAATAATAATAATTTTGGGTTAATAATTAGTCTTTATAATATTTGATTTTATAATATAAATATTTGGTGAAATAAAAATTTAGTTCTTGGTTCAAAAATTTTTAATTCGATTAATTCTCGTTATTATTCATATATTATTTTCTTCCGTTTAAAAACTCGATAATTTTTTTTTGTGTTTTATTTATGTATATTTGAAGTTTAATACGATCATCGAACACACTAACTCACAATCGTATAAATAAAAAAATTAAGATTTAATAATTAAATTAAAACTAAGCTTAAATATTGATAATGGAATTGAAAATTTTAATAAATAATTTAACCTAAATTTTTAATTATGTATTTTTATAAATTTTGTATAGGAGAGGCGTGCGTGGGGGGAAAGGAGTGGTACTTCTTCAGCCAGCGGGACCGGAAGTACGCGACTGGGCTTAGAACAAACCGCGCCACAGCCTCAGGGTATTGGAAGGCCACTGGCAAGGATAGGCCCATCTTTCACAAGGCCAATCAACTCGTTGGCATGAGGAAAACCCTTGTTTTCTACCAAGGAAGGGCCCCTAAAGGCCGAAAAACTGAGTGGGTCATGCATGAATTTCGTCTTGAAGGCCCCCTTTCTCCTCTCAAAGACTCATCTCCAAAGGTATGAATCAATGCTGTCTCTTTATTCCTTTATTTTTGTGAATATTGCCTTAATCAACTTATTAGCGATGGTCTAGCTAGAAGTTCTTTTGTTGATTGGATTCAGATTCATCTCTGCCCTTTTCTGCCTTGCCTTCCAAGTGTTTGTAAAAATGCCTGTGTGAATCTTTTAGCTTTTTTTTTTTTTTTTTGTGTGTTATTATTATGTATACTGATGTGAAGTCAACTAATTGTTATGTTTTGATGAATGTGTGAGCTTGGTTAATCACTTAATAGCGATGGTTTAGCTAGAAATTTTGTTGTTAATTTAAATGAATTATGTCACTCCCCTGTTCTTTCATGCCCTCCTCGTAAAAAATGTCTGAATTTGTTGAGCTTTTTCTGTGTTCTTTTTGTCAATTGACGTGGATTCACCTCGTTGTTATGTTTTGTTGAATATATTACCTTTGTTTAGCTAGAAATTTCTATTGTTGATTTGAGATTTGGGGTTGAAACTCTCTAATTTAGGCTTGAATTTTCTCCCTACAATGTGTCATTTTAGTCAGAAAAATATTAATATCAGTTCAATTGAGGGAGATTATGAGAGTAAATTTTCTCTGCCCTTTTTTCAAAGCCTATACTGGCTTGACTTAGACATGCTTAAAATAACATGTGGGTGCAACTTGTATTTAGAGGATTACCATATTAGTTGGCTTGTTTGTCTTGAACTGAAGTCTTTCTTTATAAATCTCCCTCACCAAAGTCAACTTTGTCTTATTTGCCATGGGATGACTTTCTTCAAAAATTTATAATAATGTTGATAGCTGATGAAGAAAGATTTTCTTGTTCATAATAATGGATTGCGTTACGTCGAAGCGCCGATTAGTTTACTTAATTAAATAGATGATAGCAACTTCTCTGAGACTTTGAATCAAACAGATAAGGTCTGCATTTGTTGTTTTTTCACTGTTGTGGCTTGTTGTGTTTGTGTGCACAGGAGGACTGGGTTCTGTGCAGACTGTTCTTCAAACACAAGGAAGTTACCGCTCAACCGAGCACGGGAAGTAGCAGCTGCTACAACGACGTCGCTGCCTCGTCATCTCTCCCGGGTTCAATGGATTCTTACATCAGTTTTGATCAAAATCCAAGCAGCCATTTAAATGAGTATGAGCAAGTGCCCTGCTTCTCCATTTTCTCTCAAAATCAAACCACCCCACCTCTCTCAAACCTCATTCAAATGGAGCCAAACCCAGCCAAGAACATCAAGAACTTTGCCACCGTGTTTGGAGGAATGCCAAATTCAAGCACTTGTTCTTCAAATATAGACCCGTTTGGCTGTGACTCAAAAGTTCTCAAAGTTGTTTTAAATAACATTACTAAGATGGAAACAAATGGCAATTCATTCACTGGGCAACCCAGCATGGGAGAAGGCAGCTCTGATAGCTTCTTATCTGAGGTTGGAGATGACATAGCCAGCTTATGGAACAGATGACCCAGGAGGAAAATGGAGAAACATAAGATTGATGTATAGTTTAAAGGTTTTTTTTTTTTTTTTTTCCCAAGTGTAAATTTTATTGCATATGTGGGGAACTTTTTAAAGCCTAATTCATGGTTTTGATGAATTGTAACAGGAAAACTGATCATTTGAGTGCTCATGAACTCAATGTTTGATTTTTTCTTTTCATAATTATACCAAAAATTTGTACTGCTTGAAACTTGGAAGTTGTATGTATGTATGTATATATATATATATATATATACTCTCGATTTCTTCTTTCAGGGCTTTCTCATGAAATGGTAGTGCACCTCTCGACATACTTTTTATTGGATTAACCGTCTTTGAACATGTGACCCTTCTTCTCGCAATTATAGCAAATACCTTCAAATTTCTTCTCTTGAGAACTCTTATTATCGTTCTTCTAAACTCTTTTAGGTTGTGCATTTCCTTGTTGACTCCTTCCTTTGTCACCATTTTTGTATCCACGTTTGGTAGACGATTTATTGTTGCTCCGACTTTCACGTGTTCAGTGCTTCTTCTTCCTCCTTTAATGTGATGCCTCTGATTTGCGCATGACTTCTTGGTTGACTAGCAAATTTTCTAATTCTACCAGTGATGGTTGAGTAGACCATTCTTGTACATTAGTAACGAAACTTTTATATTCTGGTCGTAGTCCGTGGATAATTATCCTTTTCATTTGAGCTTCTCCAATGACAGACTTCGAATCTAATTCAGTAATCTCACGACAGATCGACTTGACTCTATGGAAGTATTGAGTAATTGTCATGTCACGTTGTGAGACTGATAACATCTCGTTCTCCAAATATTGTAGTCTTGTATTGTTATTCTTTGAGAAGAGTGTTACGAATGTGTCCCATGCTTCTTTTGGTGTCTTGTCATTCCAAATGTGCTCTAACATCTCTTCTTCGACTGTGGTCTTCAAGATAAACATTACTTTGCCTGCTTTGATTCTCCATTTGCGCAATGCGCCATTAGAATCCTCCTCTGGCGGCATAGTTTCACTCCCACTAACGATCTCCCAAAGATCTTGTCCTTGTAAATAGGACATCATGCATGATGCCCACGTGTTGTAGTTGTTGCTATTGAGTTTCTTAATTCGTCCAACGATTTGAAAATCACCCATCATGCTGGCAATAGCTCAATGATAACAAGTCTTTTTAACACAAAACTGATAAAGTCACTGACTACTCACAACACAAAGAAGCTCACTCACTAATAATCTCAAGAAATCGTCTTTGACGTAGAAGATTAGACAGAGCAGCAACCACATAACATACTATGAATTTCAAGAGATCAAACAACATACACCACCAACCTCGTTCGGATACCAGTCTGTGTAAAACATTCACACTCTTTGATACCAGTGACCGCTTGGGATGAAAATACGAGAGTGGAAAATATTTATAGGATAGACTAAATAATTTATTCCTAAAATATATCGTATCTTTTATTTCTAAAAGCACCTCAATTACTTCCCTAAAATATATGAGTATCTTTATTTCTAAAATACAGGGTGAATTTCCTAAAATATTCAGAGAATATAATATTTAGAGAATATATTATTTATGGAATATGTATCTTAATATTCTTTCTATATGATTTGATTTATAATATATTTTATTTTATTCTCAATATTTAATTAGTTTATATTTTTATTATTTGTAGGTAACCGGTGTGTATTCTGTTTAAAGCTTATGAATATGAATGAGAATATACCTTCAATTCCAATTCTATTTCTCATTCTTTAAGAGTAATTTAACCTAATTTAAATCAAAAGGTCTCGTTTTTTTTCCTTTCTATTTACTCTCTCTTTCGTCCTATTGGATCATATAAACACAGGAATGTGAAATCCACGTCATTTTTTCTTTTGCAAAGGTAAATAATTTAACGCTCGATTTACTTTTTATTTTAATGAATTAAGAAAAGGAAAATAATAATAATAATAATAATAATAATAATAATAATAATGGTTCCGCGTAGTGACGTATTTGACTCGGTCAAAGGGAAAAATGTTCTATAAATAAACCCTTGCGCGCCTCTCTGCACTCTTTTCTCACTGCTTCTCAGTTACGCTTCGCTTACCTTTGTCTATGGATTTCATTTCGAATCCAATGGCTTGCAAGACTCTCCCATGCCGGACACTGTTCCCGCCATGCGCTGCACCTTCTCGCCGCCGCCATTTTTCGCCCTTTTCACTGTCCAATACAGGCAAGCGAGTTGGAAAGCTTCGTTGCGAGTTCGATTTTAATGTTAATGGAGCTCTCTCCGGCGACTTTGATCCTCGCTCCGTCGACAGGGTACTCATGCGATTCATTTTTCTCTGAATTTGCCATCTGCAGCTTGTACTACTTTGTTTTTCTAATTTTTGGTCTGAAATGTTTGCAATGCTTTTTATTTCACTTTTCGTGGTTTGTTTTCATTCGTGTATCAAGTTTTTTTCAATCGAGTTCGAGTATCAAGTTGGAATCCTGTTTTGTTAGGGTTGTCAGTTGTTAAATGGTGATAAATAGAAAGGAAGGCAACGTCATTACGACACACTTGGGCGCAGGGGGAGAAAAAACCATCTGCGAATCTAATATTTGACTATATTTGTTTACTGTGATTATGTTGCTTTTCCAGCACTTATCTACTTATGAGTTATTAGTTTCTCAGATATTGTAACGTTTGTGTCGTCCTAGAAAAAGGCATTGGAAGCAGCAATGAATGATATAAATAGCTCATTTGGGAAAGGAAGTGTTACACGACTCGGAAGTGCTGGAGGAGCGTTAGTGTATGTCCTTTTTGTTTATTTTATTTTTCCCGAGAAGACCGTAAAAGTTGAAAATTTTCAACTGGTCAACAGGATTTTAATGGTTCGTTTAAGTTTTGTAGATTTACTACCGCAATTGGCTGGTTCGAAATTTTTTTAGCAAAATTACGTTGGGAAAATTTTCATTTCTTGAAGCATCATAAGTGGCAAGTTTAATGTTAGATTTTCTTGTCAGGTTTAAATTTCTGTTATCTTCTGTCCTTACAGGGAAACTTTCCCAAGTGGTTGTTTGACTTTAGACTGCGCCTTAGGTGGTGGCCTTCCTAAAGGCAGAATTGTTGAGGTATGTTTACTTGTACTTGGAGGTTGGGGTATAAAGGTAAAGGAAAATTTTCAAGTTGAGGAAATTGGCATACCAAATTTGTGGGCTATTTTAGTTAGATGGAAATTGTCAATTTGCTTTGTAATGAGCGTAATCTCTAGCTCACTACAATACTACATACCATAATTTTGTTGAGCCTTGTAGGGAGAAAAATAATAGCTATGCGGAAACTATGAACAAAATAATTTATCTCCCCTTCACGTGTTTAGCCAAACAAGTTAGAGTCACAAAATAATTAATACATTTCATCATTCTTTTTCCAGATATTTGGACCAGAAAGTAGTGGAAAGACCACTTTAGCATTGCATGCAATTGCAGAAGTACAGGTACATGCGTGTGTTTTTATATATATATATATACATATATTGTTACTTCTCACTGCTATTTTTTTTTTATTTGCTGAGATGCTAGGAGGCACTAGGAACATGCTAGTTTTGTCTGTTATGAGAATTAGTACCTATTCAGTTGTGACATGCAGAAACTAGGTGGAAATGCGATGCTTGTGGATGCAGAGCATGCCTTTGATCCAACATATTCTAAAGCTGTAGGAGTGGATGTAGAAAATTTGATTGTCTGCCAACCTGATCATGGAGAGATGGCACTTGAGAGTAATATTTCCTAGTTTGCTTCACGATTTTCTTGAATGAAATAGTTCTCGTGCCTTTTGGCTATGGTATGCTTGTGACAAATGTGTACTAATGGATGGATATTCTTATATCAGTTGCAGATCGCATGTGTAGATCTGGTGCTGTAGATCTCATTTGTGTGGATTCTGTTTCTGCTCTAACGCCAAGAGCAGAAATTGAAGTAATTTTTATGACCTTCTTGAGTTTCTAAAGCTTTCTTGTAAGATTGCTAATCTTACATTTCCTATCCTTGCTTTGTAGGGTGAGATTGGCATGCAGCAAATGGGTCTGCAAGCACGGCTTATGAGTCAAGCTCTTCGTAAAATGTCTGGAAATGCCTCAAAAGCTGGTTGCACTCTCATCTTTTTGAATCAAATACGATATAAGGTTATTTCATTCTTCAATTAGGTTTAATAATTCTATCTTCAAAGTTGGGTAAATTTTGTGCATGGTAATGGGTCAGGGTCAATTTTCATGGGGGCTTTCTTTAGGTTTAAGGTTTATTTTTTATTTTTCCTTCAGGGATTTATTTTTTAAAAAAAGGATTATATATATATTTGTAATTTTACAATGATCTATGGAAAGTTGTGTTTCTTCTCAGAATTAAATAAACAAAATAAATATCAGAGTCAGTTTGTTTGGCCAAGCCAGGTTAACTGAATTTATCATGTATTTGCATCCTGTGTGAGAATTCTACTCTTAACCTTATTGTTAGTACTGTATCAATATCCTCATATGTAATATTTGAAAGCATAATGATATTGCTGTTCATAATTTTATTAGATTGGTGTGTATTATGGGAACCCAGAAGTGACAAGCGGAGGAATTGCGCTAAAGTTCTTTGCCTCACTTCGACTTGAAATACGTCAGACTGGGAAGCTCAAGTCTGTAAGAATGCTCTCTGTTATTTGCTTTATCTGAACCAATTAATAGTTTTTCCTTTTCTTTTAAAGACAAATTGAACTCTCATTTAGAAAGTACAGAAGCAATTACAATTTGCATTAATGTCATAACATCCGATTGAGGCAAGCCTTATGCTGTGTGCTACCTTCTTTTTAAGGCTAAAGGAGATGAAGAAATTGGGATTCGAGTTCGTGTTAGAGTGCAAAAGAGCAAGGTAAACTATAAGTAATCAATTTTTGCTTAGCATCTCGTCAATTCTTATGAGCCTTTTCATTCGTAGCATTTTCCGTTGATTTTTTACAATTTCTAATATATTCATTTGCAAATATAAACTAATGATACTTGTTAGTTTCCATATGGTGCATTTGATCGGAATGATGCTTCTTCTATCGAATCTTCCTCTGCATTTTTTTGTTGTGGTTTAAAGATAATTTTTCTTATTATATATGGCTTTCGGTAATACCCTCAAGTTGGTATTGTGATGTTGTCTTAGTTCTGCAGTGAAATTGGTGGACTCGTTTGGTAACTACTTGACTTTTGTTTTTTAGTTTTTAAAAATTGTGCTGGTTTTTCTCATCATTGAAATTAGTTTCATCTTTCTTAAGAAAACATTTGAATTCTTAACCAAATTCCAAAAACAAAAACAAGTTTTTGATAACTATTTTTTTAGTTTTCAAAACCTGACTTGATTTTTTAAGACATAGGTAAAAAGTAGATAGCAAAACAAATAACATATATATGGAAATAGTATTTGTAGGTTTACTTTTTAGAAACCACAAACCAAGTGGCTTTCAAATGGGGTCTAATCTTCATGATTTAAGATTCTCTTGCTAACGAAGATGATACATAGCAACTAGGAATGTTTGGGACTGAGGATTATTTGCTTTTTTGCGTGGTTATCATTTAAGATGGAGAAGTATTTTGGAGGATGTTGCTTTATTCTGAATACAAATAGAAACTTAGAAGAAAGAAAACCGAGATGAGCTATTTTGTGGATTCTGTGGAGTAGAAAGATTGCAGAATTTTAACGAGCTTATTTAAACAAAATCTATTTTATAGGTTGTGCAACCGTGCCCTTGTGTTCTTAATTTGGGAGAAAATATCATTACAGTGGACATTTGAACTAAGGATCTCCTCTCTAATACCCTCTTAAATTTAGGGGTATGTTATTCAAATATGCGCCACCTAGGTCTTCTTATATTGGAGAAAGACCCATTACTACATAAGGAAAGAATAAAGACTAAATATTGATTCCTAATATTTACACACAAAGACTAGAAATTTTATCACTAAAAAATGTGCAACGCACACTAAATTCAGAGGGAAGTTTGCAACGCGGCTTATAAGGAAAATTGCAAGAGAGAAATAGATTGTTCACCAACCCATTATTCATATATCAAAGGACTCTTACAAATTAATAAAATAATTACTACAAACATTTCCAAGATAAAAAGAACTCTTCAAGTCTCAAATGGTGCTTCCAAACATCCTTTTTCTCCAACCACCAAAGTGATTTTCTATGAGAAGTTCGATAAAATTCATTATTTTAGGAGCACATGAGGTTATATTATATTTGTCAAGTTACAATACAACATTTTGATGAATTGGTTTACCCATCACTTTGAATGATGTCTTGTAGTCATTTGAACTATTTTCAGTTGTCGTATCAATTAATAAAATGTTTTGTTATGATATCTTCTTAGTATTATGGTATATGGCAGAAATATTAGTCACGCTTGTAATTTAAAGGCTCTATATTGCCACCTTGAGCTTCCAATCTTTTTCCATAAAACATAGAATATTTTATCCAAAACGGGTTGCTATAGGTGTCGAGGCCATACAAGCAAGCCGAATTCGAAATAATCTTTGGAGAGGGAGTAAGTAAACTGGTGAGTATTGTAGGAGTAAGCATTTTTCAATTGTAGGCGCAAAATATTCTGTTCTAACTTCAAATTCTACTCTTTTCTCCCCACAGGGTTGCATTTTAGATTGTGCTGAAATCATGGACATTGTAGTGAAAAAGGGCTCGTGGTACAGTTATGGGGACCACAGGTTTGTGGTGTTATTAATCGCTTTTTGCTGTCTTATGTTCTGATTATCCTATCTTCTAGGTGTTCCATTAACATTGAGCTCTGCTTTCTGTTGACTAAAGCGCAACAATATTGTTATGCTTTTCTCTAAAAGATCATTATTTCCTTGTTTGCTAAAGGTTGGGACAGGGAAGAGACAGAGCTCTGCAATACTTGAAAGAAAATCCTGCTCTTCAAGAGGAAATTGAGAAGGTTTGTTTTTGCTCAAAACAAGTTTATAAGAACTACGATCCTGCTCTACTATGTTTTGAAGAAAAAAAAAAAAAAAGTAGCTTTCACAATCTTATTTTTGTTTTTTAATCAATCGGGATCGTAGTTCTTATAAACGTGTTTTTGTGGAATTCGACTGAAAATTTAAATGTTATTGTAAATGAAAATCATAATAGAGAAATGGTGAGAAAATAAACACAATTTTAAAAAATCAATTAGTTATTACACAAGGCCTAAATAATTTAGGGCGGTAGTTAATGCTTGCTTGTCATGTTTAGTGACAATTATATATTTTTACCAAGATCTACTTTGTGATGTCCCACATTGGTTGGGGTGGAGAGCAATCACCATTTATAAGGGTGTGGAAACCTTCCCCTAGCAGACGCGGGTCGTGAACAGATTTTTGTGATTAAATTTGATGTCATGTTTCTTTTGAAATTGCTGTCTTTCATGAAAATTCTGGTTTTTTTAAATGTATGGCAGACGGTGCAGACCACGCTGACTAGTGGAACTGTTCAAATGGGATTTCAATCTATCAGAAAGCCATTGCCGAATCAAGAAGAGGTTCTTGAGGAGTTTGAATAATGAACAATCTATGCTACGATTAAGCAGTAGCTACAGAGACTACAAGCAGAAGCGACATTTCTCGATCAGCCCCCAATAGATCGATTTTCCGTGGTACATCCAGTGATGCTATTAGAAGTTTTTTAGTTAGGTGCAAGCTAGATGTGATGAAGACCGAAAACTGGCTCTATTTGCATCAAACCTCCAAAGACAACGTTTTGGATCATCCACGAGTCTCTTCTTTGGTATCGCTTAAAACAGGTCGGTATGATTTGAACCGTATTCTTGAGAAGTTGATGAGGAAGTACTGTTGTAATTTGTACTGCAACTTATCAGGTATCATATTCAGATTTGTGTACTTGAAGTATTAACATTTCTAAATTTTTACCACTGCTTGGCATCCAGATTTATAGATTACATCAATTGCATCAGAATTATAATCACCATCTCTGAGGGCGATGGAATTCAAGCAAGCAGGGTATGGTTTGTTATATGAAGCCCCTTCCCTACTAGTAACAGGGGTTAGTAGTTCCATTTTTTCTTTACTTGAATTTCACTGTCAGTATACAAAAAGACATGTTCATAAATTAATTTAGGGTTCTTTGTAGGGGTCAGTTCTATTATCCCAATGCATTTCTCTCGACTATGCTACACAGAAGCATTTGGTTGTGTGATGATTTTGAAACTTAAAACTAAAAGAAACCAGCACATCTCATAGATGGATAAGGTCAACCATGGCATTAGTGCCTCCATCCAAGGCAACTGTTCTACCAACCTCAGCTTGTAGGCCAAAAATATGATCACTAATAACCCCTGTTAGCTTTCCTTGGACGTCCTTTAATGGCTCATACCATGATCCTTGCCTCGCCAACTGATGTACACTTAAGCTTATGCACACGTCCTTTATTAGACTCTAAATTAAAAGTTCATAATAACTGAGAATCAATAACCTAATCCATTTATCTCGAAATTCAGATTGACATACTAACATGTTTGATTTATCATGAAATTCATAATTATCACTCGTGTAAGACTTTCATTAAAGGCATAGTTTAATACAATATGAAGTAAAAATGCTTAGAGATAATAAATTTCATCAATTTGAACAAAATCTTCTATACACGTCTTAAATTTGTGACGTTAGTAAGATTTTGAAAAGAACAATATATTGGGTAAATAGGCACACATCTAATTTGACCGATGGACGATTAAATTTGTGACGTTAGTAAGATTTAAGATTTTGAAAAGAACAGTTTATTGGGTAAATAGGCACACATCTAATTTGACCGATGGACGAATACACAAGGTTTTCAATCTAATTTGACCGATGAACAAATACACAAGCATACGTTTCATGCTTGTTCGGAGTCTTACATTCTAGCATACGTTTCATGCTGGACTCTTACATTCTAATCTGATTTTCAGTGAATTTGATAAAATCACGCAAGGTAAGGATTCAACATGAACATGGTGTAAAATGATGCAAATTTTAAAGCATCATTGAAAATTTGTTGACATTTCCTCCATTTCTGTGCAGTGTTCACAGTTTGCTGTTTACATCGATGCATTGAACGCTCGAGCATTGAGAACCAAATAATAACAGTTTTCCTCTTACCAATTAAGAATTGGAGATCTAATACATGTATTGAATATTTACAGCAACACAAAGCCTTCAGAATCGCAGCTTCTCGACGCCACCCTGCTCCTCAAGTGAATCACAAAGCAACGACACGTCCTGGTCCTTGGTATCGTCGAACATTGTCTGGACAAAAAATGGCCAAAGCATTGCAGAAGGCATAGTCATCTGATCATAAAGATAAGTATGGCCTAGGCTGGCCTGGCAGGTTACTGGGTTTCTTTGTCTACATGCCAATTCCAGCTTCCTCCAGTGCAGCTTCCATTGAAGCTGAGGCCTCCTCAAGCGTCCGCTTCTTCTGAACGGTGTAGTAGGCCTCTATTACATCTCCCACCTCCCAATCATTGTACTCCTCCATCCCAACGCCACACTCTAGGCCGGCATTCACCTACAAAACAGACCATTCATTCTCCTTAAACAGTATTAACAATCAACCATCTTTCTGAACAAAACCCGACACATAGAACGAGCAGCGACCAAGAGGCATCATGGTGTTGATTTTGCAGTCACTAGTTATATACTTGGGTCAGGTCAATGTCTTACTCTAATCCACAAATCTAATGTAATAGTCCAAGCTCACTGCTAGCAGATATTGTCCTCTTTAGACTCACTTTCAGGTTTTCCCTCGAGGTTTTTTTAAAATGCGTCTATTGTGAGATTCGACATCTCTCCTTAGCATACGCGTTTTAAAAACCTTAAGGGGAAGCCCGAAAGGAAAACTCAAAGAGGACAATATCTGCTAGCGGTGTGCTTGGGCTTTTACATCTATGCAGGGACTTATATCAATCTACATAGGGAACTAAGCTCAAGCTAGGCATGTTCCCAATCAAAGGGAAGGATAATCACATACCTCTTTAACGATTTCTTTAACTCGTCGCAGCGAATCAAGTTGGCCATTATATACCGTTTTACCCTTTCGCAGAACCCGGATGCCACAGCCCTTAGCCAGCTTTCCATCCACTACCATGCATCCAGCAACAAGACCACTGCCACTACTGAATACTGCACGGACTTCTGCTGACCCCATTGGTACTTGTTCCTATTCAAAGACAAATGACAGATCTCAGCTATATATATGTTAATCTTCAATGAGGAAAGTGTAGAAGGTTCAAGCCAACAATTTAACCAAACGAAGATATAGTCACAGGGACTGACACGACGAGCATACAAGTTGATCGATCGAGTGAAATGACAAAAATGAAAAAAAAAAATCAAAATTAAGGCGTATCTGAGTGTGAACCTCTCTTGTAAATACAAATCAAAATTAAACTTACTATAACAGTCCAAACCCACCGCTAACCGATATTGTCCACTTTGGTCCGTTACATATCGCTATCAGTCTCATGGTTTTAAAACGCATATGCCAGGGAGAGGTTTCCACACCCTTAATAAGGAATGGTTTGTTCCCTTCTCCAACTGGTGTGAGATCTCACAATCCACCCCCCTTGGGGGTCCAACGTCATCGCTGGCACACCGTCTGGTGTCTGGCTCTGATACCATTTGTAACAGCCCAAGCCCAAGCCCACCGCTAATAGATATTGTCCGTTTTGGTCTGTTACGTATCGTCATCAGCGTCACGGTTTTAAAACGTGTCTGTTAGGGAGAGGTTTCCACACCCTTATAAGGAATGTTTCGTTCCCCTCTCCAACCGATTTGGGATTCTTTTCACAAACTCATGTACCATGTCGTTATAACTTGGAAATGTAAAACTTTTAAGTACTGACCTCAACAGGATCTAGAAGTCCTTCCATTGCGTTCCGTACGTCATCGATAAGCTCGTAAATGACTCTATAGAGCCTGATCTCAACAGCTTTATTTTCTGCATAACTCTTAACAGAACCTGGTGCTTTAACATTAAATCCTAGAATTATGGCTTTGCTTGCAACTGCCAGATCAATATCACTGGAGGTCACATCCCCAGTTGCTTGCAAAAGAAACTTCAAGGAGACGTTATCTTGCGGGAGCACCTGAAGGGCTTGTCTAATAGCCTCGATCGATCCCTAGTCATCGACAATATTAACAAGTGAATAACGTGCACAAATTTTCATCTCAACAAATTCATTGTAGATTACGAGTGTAAGAAAGATATACGTCCCGATGTACCTGAACGTCGACCTTCAAGATTATGTTCAGTTGGTGCAAGTCTAACCCGGATCGCTTTCCTGATGAAACAGCCGAAGCTAAAGAAGAAAGGGTAACCTTCCCATCTCCAGCCTTGTCTGATATTCGTTGAGACCGCAAGGCCTCAGCACGTAACTCGGCCTTCTCACGAGCTGTATCGAGGGAATCGACAACCTCGAATTCATCACCAGCAATTGGCACAATATTTAACCCAATGACCTGTGGGACAGATTAAGAAAACCAGAGAATTAGACTATCAGAGAATATCTAACAAAGTGAAACTCTTTATAATCTGCTTGACATAAACAAAAACAACAAGTAATGATCCACAAACCTGCACTGGTAAGGAAGGTCCAGCTTCTTCGACCCGTTTTCCGCCATCATCAAATAAAGCTCGAACCTAAAATAGTTATACAGGTAAACGAACTCCTTAGAAATGGTCGACATCAACAACAATCACCAAAAATAATAACATAATCAAACGAACGCAGAATAACTTCACGATTGTTTGCGCCACATAGTAACAAATGTACAAACAAAAAGCACTTTTGAATTTGAAAAATTCTAAAGTACCGACCTTCCCGAAGGCCTCCCCACATACTAAAACGTCACCCCGTTTAAGGGTTCCATTCTGTACAATAAACGTAGCGAACGGTCCTTTTGCTTTGTCAAGACCTGCCTCGATAACTGTCCCCTTCGCACTTCTATCAGGATTAGCCTTCAGTTCTTGCAACTGAACATCAAAAAAAAATTAGATAAAATACGTTGAAAAGTTGATGTGAGGGAATAAAATGAAAAGAATATACTAAGGCGTACGAAAACTCAGCCCGACGAAAAGGAATCTCAAAATTAACTAAGAAACGGAGTCCAATTTAAGACCGGTGGGCATAGCTAAACTTTCTCAAATGTGGGATGGGGATTTCCGCTCGATGCGACAAAACTAGACCTAATTGATAATGAGAAAAAAACGGACAGACCGAAGTCCACAACAATCCGTTAACTCTCGCAATATCTCAGCCTCAATCCACTTATTGTGAATGAGTCAAATAGCTATTGGAACACTTGAAATTCCTTTAGTTCGGGAAAGGAAACATCGGTCGAGTCCACTTCTAAGCAAAGGGTCCAAACCTAACTCAAATATCTTTTCATCGATTGAGTTGAAAGCGAGTTGGTTAGGTATAGGGAGACTCCGGGTGGAATTAAGGTATCTCCACATTTCGATCGATAGGGAGAGGAAAGAAAAGATTATTGACTGAGTTGACAAAGATTTGATATCACACCGACCAAATTGTGGTATGATAATCAAACAGCTCTTCATATCGCATCTAATCCGGTATTTTATGAGCGAACTAAACACATTGACGACAAGTGCCATTTTTTACGTGAAAAATACAACAAGGTTTGGTATCCACACGATATCTGAAGATTGGAGAGCGATTAGGAGATATCTTCACAAAGGCATTAACTCGAGCACGAATAGATTACCTCTCTAACGAGTTGGGCATGATAAATATTAGCATATTCGTCGTGTTGTTCTTTATTTAGAGGATTATGATTCTCTCAGACCTTAAGCATTAAGCAACAACGACGACGAACAGCCAGAGCCACCGTAATTGGATAATTTCCAAGATGTAAAAATACTAAAATCAACACGACGTACTAGCAACGTTTCACTTACCTCAGCAAGAAGCATTACTGTTTCCAACAGGTCATCCACATTCTGCCCTTTAAGAGCACTAATCTGTTGGAAAATATTACGAGCATAAGTTCGAAAATAGATAAAGCTGAGATATGCAAGGTCAATTTCTGCGTTTGAGATATATTTACCTGCACCATAGGGACGTCACCGC